ACCAGCTGCAGCACGGTGCTCTTGCCGCAACCCGAGGAGCCCACCAGTGCCACGCACTCTCCCGCCTTCACATGTAGCGAAAATCCTTGCAGAATCTGTATAATACATTGTGCATTGTAATTCGTTTGTTAAAAAATTGGGACGCTTAGTAGATAGGGGAAATATCCATTTACTTTGCGTCCCCTCTTGTGATGATTAAAGAAAGGCAACACATCTGCTAATGCGGATCTCTATGGCCGTCGGTCGTCGTCGGTCGGACCGCTTGCTGGTTTGAATTTTTTATAGTTTCAAGTGACTCATATGACATATTATATGACAGATGATACGAGTACAATAGTTACTTTATAAAATGATAAGGTTGACCTTGACGTCCGGTCGCGCGGGGTAGCTGAAGTGCACGCTTTCGAGCCGGATGTCGCCGGCGAGGCTGGCGGGCTGCGCGCCGCCGGCGGCCAGGCAGTCGATGGCCGGCCGCCGCTCCAGCAGCGCGAACACGCTGGCCGCCGCGCCGCGCGCCGCCGCGAACACCTCCGCCAGCGGCGCGCAAAACGTCACCGACTGCGTCGCCATGTACACGTTCATCAGAATCTGCAAAACGCGTGAGTGCATTCTCTTATTAGTCGCTTCGCCATCGATTGCTAACTATAACCTGCAAAACTATTATTATTGTTCGATAAATATAAATTGATGATAAATGATTGAATGATGATTTATCGAAGTATTGCAATAGTAACGCTTGTTAATTTGCGATCAATTTTAGTTACATTTATTCAAAAATCTTATTACAAAAATTAAGGTTTTGTACCTATACAATTAAAAACGTTACTTGTTGTTTTTCTCTGTATGTCATGTAAACCTATAATTAGGACAAATTATCTGCATGCTATTTATTGCATTATGTATAAAAAATGTTCTGTTGATCTATCTCAAAAAACAAATCAATTGTTATAATACTGTTCGCGACGGATGGATTGTGTGAAAGAGGATAGGCTTAAGAAAGGAGTGGATTCAGATATGACGGCTGATACAGAGGTATAGAAGAGCAGCACATACTGTGCCGACCCTCCGTAAGGGATAAGGGCAAGTGGATGATGAATACTGTACGCAACGGCGCAGACGCTGAGAGGTAGTTGCGTGTCCCTCACTCACAGATTGTTTGTACAAAATGCTTAGTCGGGAAAAAGATGAATTGTGCGCTGTTTACACCGTACACTTTGTGTAAAATGTTTGGAAATGAGTAGATTACTACTAAGTTAATACTTTTGGCTACAGGTTGAAAAAAGGGGCGAACGTAAGCTTTGAACTTTCAAATTTCACGCAGACGAAGTCGCGGTCTACAGCTAGTATATAATATACAATACTTAAGTAAATATAGAAGTGGACTCACACTGAACAAGACGCCGATGACGTACTTCCTGTGCTCGGCGGGAGTGTCGAGGTCCGCCAGCACCAGGCGCGTGCCGTACGCCAGGCAGATGCCGTCCATGCCGTACGTGAGCAGCCAGTGCACGCCGGTGCCCACGCCCGTCAGCAGCCCGCGCCGCCGGCCCGCGCGCTCCGCCGGCGTCAGCAGCGCCAAGTACCTGTCTCGCTCCACTTCAATTATTAACATTCAACAAAAATAAATTTTGCTCGTCTACGTAATTTCGCAACAGTTGTGTTCGAACTAACAACTGTAGCCAAGTGTAGAATGTGTATGTGCTCTTACAATATTGCACAATCAGCAAAATGTGAAGTCTTTGAAAATTTCATGATTGCAATATTTAAATTTAATTTAAAAGATCAGATTTCTTAATAGTCTGTATCTTGTGTAGCAGCCAATATCAAAAGCAAAAACTGCGACGGTAGCAAGAAATTCATAAGTCTAGGAACAATGTACGAGTACGAGTAGTTAATTAGAACATAGTAATCAGAACAGACAGATTTAATAAAACAAGATTGGTAAATAAAAAGGACTCAGGCTTGGTCAGGTGTTTAAGAGAAATAAGTATAATCATCCGTTTTTAACCAGCATTACGTGGTTTTATTTACCAGCGGCAAGTCCAAACATTGACAGACTAGCGTTTGTGTTCTTTTATCATAGAATTTATCTGAGATTAAGGAATCATGTTATTTCAATCGTAACCAGGCCGTTGTCTAACAAATGTAAATACGCATTTTCCGAAGGCATGTCCTACCTGTCGCTCTCGATTCGCTCGCCGGCGAAAGCGATGACGGTGCGAACCGACTTGAGCACCTCCTCGGCGTGCTTGCCGGCGCGACTGTAGGAGGCCATCTCCCGCGCCAGCGAACGCGTTTGGTACTGCAATCACACAACGCATCCTTGTCGACTGCTTCATTATGTGCTACTATGTGTACGAGGAGGTGAGTTCAGTTTGCGATTCGTAATTAGAAGAAATATTTTATTAGTGACTAACTATTATTGAACCACAGTGTTCTCGTGTGAAGCGGCGGGGTCTTTGTGTGTCGTGTTTGAGAGTAAATGTGTGAATGTGAATGGAGCAGCAATAAGTCGCCAAGAATGGATACTTACGTTAGATAAGATGACGGAGGCGGCGACAGCGAATGGGATGACGGTGATGCAGGCCAACGTGAGCTGCCAGCCGGCGCTCAGCGACTGGCAGATACAGAGCACGCTGGTGCCTACCAGGTTGGCGATCACGCCCAGCTTGTCGCCCATGCCCTCCTTCAGCTTCATCAGGTTCCTCATTAAATAAACATTCTTCTTTAATCAAAGTGTATTACTCTATGATCTGCTCTAGGCTCTAAAACTTTAAAAATAAAGGCCACATACATAGTACATGCAATTTTCAACAGACTTTAAAAAGTAGCAGGTTCTCAATTTGTTTGTATGTTTTTTTCATTATTTTTCGTTATTTCATAACTCCGCCCCTGGTCATACAGTTTTAGATTCTTTTTCACACGATTTCGATTTCACACAGATTTTCATATAGTTTTATAAGTTGCCACGTGGTCTCATTTTTTAAAATGACAACCTAAAAAATAGTTTTTGAGTTAGTTAACAATACGAACAAGTCTGTTAAAAACAGGACAATTTTGTTTTCTTGGCTTGCGTACACCAAACTATCGAATCTACATAATTTTTTTTTTCAACAAATGATTATTCTTTTTAAATAATATCTTTACATTGAAATAAATGGAACAAAGTTATTTGCATGCATAGTTAATTCGGATAAAATGTTTAGAAGGTTCGGATTAAGCAACGCACTCGGACATCTTGGAGGCCAGGTTGAAGTCGGTGTCGAGGTCGAACCACGCCATGTCCTGCCGCATCACCGCCTCCAGGAAGAGCATTCGTATTCTTGTTATCTACAGTACAAACGAGAAAAGAAACATTTTGTTTTATCTGTCTTCGGGTATGTAAAGTCAATGGCACTAATATTAATGTTTCTACCTGCCTAGCGGAGCTCCAGGCGAGCAGCGCGATGGAGGCGTTGCACAGCACCAGGGAGATGATGATTGCCACGAAGCAACCGATGCAGCTCGCGCGCGCGTCTTCCTCCAGAGCGGCCATGTTCTCCTCGTACGATGCGTTAACCCTGCAGATAGGTGAGGTGAGTGTCGCTACACTGCTAATCTGCTGGACTGCTAGACTGCTGGACTCCACTCATTTTATGTCTTCTTATCATCCCCGCGCGTCTCTGCCGCAGATCGTATTGATAACATTTCGAAGATCTAGACAGGCGATGAGGAATCGTCGCTACCTCACTTTTTTACTTAAACGAAGTCAGATGAATGCATTCTAGCTGAAGATGCCCAGACGATTTGAGAAGAAATAGATAAAAATAAAGGCAGAAGAAATAATGATAATCCGTATAAAAGTATAATCCTGCATCCTGAGTGCGCTGATGGACAGATGGGACTCGGCGACGCTGGCTCGTTGGACACACTTACATGTAGGCGAGTGTAATCAATTGTGAGTTTGTTGTAATTTATATTAATTATGTTAATTTTCTACTAACACTAGTTTGTAAGTTTACACTAACACCTTATGGATCCTTGATATCTGAATTAAATGGTTATTATTATTATCATAATATTTGATCGATTGTAATATTGCTCTCACACAAATAAGAGTGTGTCCATGTTTTACAGTATTTTTAGTCCCTTTCCCTTCCTACGATTTTCTTATACGGATAGAATGGGAAGGAAAAGTTGATTTGACGGTGGAGGAGACGCATACGAAGGGGAAATATCCTCTTTATGTGCGTCTCCCTCTCCGTTGATTAAGGTAGGCAACGCTTATGCAATCGCGGATGTCTATGGACAGCGCTTGCTTCGCTATCTCGGCGAATTCAGGTGGCCTGGCTAGTTCGTTTGCCACCTTAATATATAAAAAAGAGTAATAATCACAGTAGAACGATATACTTATACTTACAGTCTTCTGCCGCCGCCAAATAATGTAGTTAAAGGCAAGTAGGCGGAGAGCTGGTGCTGGTTGGCGGTGCGGTCCACGAAAGCCGTGGTGAGCTCGCCGAACTGCGCCAGGTTGTAGCACAGGCCGCCGCCGCTCAGCAGGCCCAGCAGCACGCCCACCGCGGTCGCCAGCAGCTCGTACCATCGTCCGTACTTGTACTGCGCCGGCACTCAAAAGCGCTCAGTCTCGCTGGCCTTAGTGCCCGGCAAGCGCGCGGCGAGCCGAGCCATGCCCTACCGTGCCATGTCGTTCTGTGGTGTGGCGTCCACAGCCAACCAGTACTCAAAACTGGCACTCCGTTATTTTCATTGTTCACTAAGTTATCATCATTTCTTTTTGAAGTACAAATTCCTACTACACTTTAGGCGTTTGGCGTACTTAAACATGTTTACATACATTTACTTAATTATTTTTCAAGGAAATGTTTTATGTGTAAGCTTACGCTATAAGGCATATATTATGTGGACAATCGAGGGCGTTTATTGCGATAAAATATTGACTCTCACAGTGCAATGTTTTACACATTGCACTGTGAGTGCACACTCGACACAGCAACATGTACACAAATGTATAGACAGCGCCAAGGGTAGTACTCAAGGTGGTAAAAGAAGTGAGAGAGGGCAATCGCCCGCTAGAAACTTCAATAATGTAAATACTCGTAGATATGAATGCTCCTACGAAACAATGGAAACTGCCAAACATTCATGTCGATTGGTGTGCAAGTTCCCCTGAACTAAGCCCGTGTAATCTGCGGGTCCTGGCCTCGATCACTCCATGTATAAAAACACATTATTCTACGATTTTCGTATTTCATAACATTTATATGAATCCAATGTATGTACAAGCTACGCACATATCAGCGAAGAAATCATGGATATGTATGAAGTCAACCAATTCGCACTGCCCCAGCGTGATTGACAATGGACAAGTCCGTCCGGGGGACGTAGTTATAGTGAGCTGATGATTATTACAATAATATAATGAAATTTGCATTTGACAACTTACAATTTCAAAGTATGAGACGGTGTCCTCTGTCCCCCGCGACCTGCAATAAAGTGTTTGTTGCTATAAGTAGGCCTGGGCCAGGGGCGGGCGGTGTGCGGTGCGCGGTGCGCGGTGTCAAGTTATCCCATACAGATATACGATTATTACATATAATCTTTGCGACTTGTTTGCGGGCGACAGGCGGCCGCGGTGCTGTATATGTATGTATGTCGTCACGTTACGACACATTAGTTAATTATGTGCAGTAAAGAGTACGAGCGCGGATTAGCGGCCGCCATAAAATTTGATCCATAATCCTACGTTAGTATTGAGCAATATTCTCCGCAATATTTTTTTTTGTTTCCCGTGGAGCCCTAGTAGCCCCTGCTACTATTGCTGAAGCAGCAACTATGGTACCTAGGAAGATGTTTTCTTGCTATACATATGATATGCCGGACCGGGATATCAGGCGTTAGGTTAGAGCGTAATGGACGAACTGCCAAAGGTCGGGTCGTTTCATTTTTTTTCTTTAACTTTGTATACATGTTTTTTTTTGTTAGCTAATTTTGTCTCATACATATTCAGTGACTTTTAAATTTTGTGTAATTATTTCTTATGAGTACCTTTGTATCAAAATGTTTTAATAATTTAACTGCAATATATAATATATAATGTGGATGTTTTGATGTTTCACTTGACTTGTTTAATTTTTCTATTTTTTTTTGTGTTTATGTGTTTATCATAATGATGTTTCTTGTAATGTCCTAATTGTTTTTTATGTTGTATGTATTTTGTGTTTTTTTAAAGGGAGAGATAATGTCGTGTTTATGAGGGTATCTTAATATAATGTACCGTCAGTTGAGGAATAATAAATCAGTCCAGTGCCAACCGCCGCGCCGCGCCGTTTCATTCACACCCCTACATTACAAAATATGTACAACATACGCAAATATTTCATTTCGTTACAAATAACCTGTATCTAAATGTACATATGTACTACTAACTACCATTAACTTAACTACTATTTCCTGACTTACAATTAAATAACTTTATAACTAAGTTTTATGCATTTCACTATTTTTTTTGTTTCTTTAATACAATGTGTTAGTCTGGCATTTGTGCATCCATTAGCTTTGGCAGCTAAGTCCATCACTTCTTCGCAGTAAGCTAAGAATGGTGTCCTAATTAGTTCTGCATGACCTTCTGAATGCTGCGCCGTGTAGTTTATCAGTGGTCAAGCCCCCTTTAACATCTTCACACGAATGGGCCGGTTCGCCCCCAGCAATACCACCTTCACACAGAAGACAAACGTGAAGTGGAAAAAATTCCGCGTTTCGTCTGATGAATGTGGTGCCGGACACTCGACTTTTTTTACCTTTTCCTTCCCATGTGATTGGAAGGGAACGTGAATTTAACCGTGGAGGAGACGCATAGGAGGGGGAAAAATTCTCTTCATGTGCGTCTTCTCCGTCATCTCTTAAGGGTACGCAACACATCCGCTATTACGAATGTCTATGGATAGCGGTCGCATCGCCATATTGGCGGATTCAAGTGGCGGCTTGTTTCCTGCCTCACAATATAAAAAAGCGTCAATTTTGTGATCGCAGTCGTCACATTATTTACTAAACCTGGGGCAGATTATAAGTATATGGTATATATAAAACATCCCCGCACATAAATAGCTCAAAATACGAAGCTTGGTTAGATGATAAGTGGGAACTCTGCCCTCGGGAGCATGAACGGTGTAAACACCGCACGATTCATGTTTTTCCCGACTAAGCATTTTGTACTATTATAAGGCACGCGACGAACACACTAAACGTGCAGGTATACTTAGAATCACCACAGCGTTCGTGTGTGCTCACCACCTCACATCGCCATAGTTATAAGAATAAACAACAACATTCTCTTTTAACTATGTTGTTATATTTCGTATGTACGGCGACACCGTACATATGGCATACTATCTCCTCGCTTGTCCGGTCGGCTTATTGCTATTGTTGTCGTAAAAGTCTTACTACAAAAATTTTATATACATACTACATTATAAACAGTTCGTTTATCGCATTTAGTTGTAAAAACTTTATTTCATTAAAAAAAAAAACCATTCCATTACTTTTACGAAAAAACATTTCTACCCATGGACTTAAGAGTACCCCTACTTATATATTCACATTTCTACGTCGTTTTACTTCTGATGCAAATCAAATTCAATTGTATGGAAAATTAAGGAATAGTTAAGAATAATGCTTGCTTGTGTACGTTTTAATTTTACTCAACTTATTTATAATTGTGTACTTACTTCTTTTTTAGTCCCATTTTGGGATAGTGGGAAGTGTGACGGTGGCACGTGCTACTAGGACAGCACCGTCTCAACGAAAGGCTCCAAGCTATGCGGCTCTCAGCGGCACTGGCAAGCGCGCGGGTACATGGGCGCGGTGAGGAGCGCGCGTGGCTCGAGGCTGCACGCTTGGGCTCACGGATGAGCTGCAGGCGACAGAGCCGTTTGTCTGCCGCACGCGCTTTATATACTGCCACAAACATATTGACATGATTAAGAACTTTATTTGACTTTTGCAGAATTAATTGGGATTAATACGACAAAACAGTCTTATCTCGCTACATTTGTCGTTTATGACTTCAGCAAGAAATGTCAAGTACTAGTAACCTGTCCGGTTATTCTTTTTATGATAGAAAAGTGCAGACGTGTAGCGGTGTACACCTCCCTGAATCTGTATTATATCGTATTCCGGTCCAGAAATAGAAATTAAAATTAGCACTGCATTATAAGTGTACCTGTCCATGCACTCTGGAATGTGCTGTAAGGGTTTCCATTTGTAAACCAGCGTTGCCTTCGATCTCTGTACTGGAATAATGTAAACCGGGCTACCTAACCGTTTACAGATTCGTCGCCTTCCTTTTATTGACGGAAATCAGAAGGTGGATATAATTGTAATTCACCCGTCTATAGTATGGCGGCGGTGTAGCATCAGCGAGCGGGCGAGCGGGTGAGGGGGCTCAGAATGACATCGGGAACACTCAAATTATCTATTTATAGGAAGGAGTAGGGAGATCCTTGCGAGCTTGCAAGAACAAGGATCTTTTATGTTATAAGAAGACGGCGACGCATGGTGCCGCTATACCTTTCAGAAAATGTACCATAGTTGTTATTGGTGATCGAAACTGTATGCATACTATATGATCGTCTGGTGTTTCCTTTATTACGCATACTGTAAATGTTTTCGTTCGTTTCCTTTCACACGACTTTGTCGAACTCCTGTCGGAATCGATGTGCACTCAAGGCTTTGTTGTGTGAGTCCTCGTAACAAAAGTGTGGCTAATGATGACGACAGTGTCAGCGCGGACGCGCGTGCGCCTCGCTACGAGTAAAAGCGATTAGAGGAGATTAACAGCGAGCGGGCTCGCGTCTTCCTGGTCGAGATTAAAGAAGCGCACATCATGCTGTAACGAAATCTACTTGAACTCGTTTGTATTTACTATAGCGAATTCGTTGATTGAGGGCGATGACGTGTCCGGCCTCCGTCGGAGACTTCACCCTACTTACGACATACAAGAGACGACACAAAACGGCTTCTTGGTATTTTCTACCTGTCGTCTTTTGCTTCTTTATCGACGTAGATAGCGTCAAAGCCATGGTATGCTTTAAAATAAAATAAAGTCTTCTTTACATCTTATGTTTTCTTCCATTTTGTACAAAATAACCTTAACAATAACACCGTTTTTCCATGTATCCACGCTCGGCACTACCAATATGGGCGTCGTGTCGTCGAGCCTATGCAACACACTATTATTGACATCTGACTACTGTCCGATTATGAACATAAGAAGTAGAATTCCTACATTTTAAAACCATGCCATAAATATTTAAATAATGTATTGGATCACAATTACAAAGTTTATATTGTTATATTATTTTAAATAAAGATAAATGGTTTTATAGTTTTTAATATCTGTATAACATTATAGCAGCTTTCTTTTGGCGGTTTTATGCCGCCATTTCGTTCCCCTAACATACGAGTATAGTCGCGGAGCAGCGCAGCAACGGGGCGCGTGCATCTTTATTCCTTTACTTTTAAAAGTTAAAGCACATCTTTCTAAACCTAATTTAACAATGTTTTTATATTTATGATAACATTTAACAACAAACATTTAAAAATCAATTAAAACTAATTCATGACTAGAATTAATTTAAATAACAAAGTAAAAAGAAATAAAACACTAGAATATAGTGAACATATAAAATACAATATAATTAAAATGTAAATTCAGTTAAAACAGTAAATTAAAAAGTAAAAATACATTCAAAATAATAAAAAAATTACACCCTATTCCTTCCGATTACTGCGAGGGCCGTCTACTTACAAAATTCCAAAATTGTCTCACTTTTTCCATTTTTCCAACTAGCTGTTGCCTACGACTTCGTCCGTGTAAAGATTAATAGCTCAAAATTTACTTTCGCCCCTTCTTTAAACGTACATATCACCTCAAGTACTAACTTAGTAGTAATCTACGTAAAAACAAATCTACTGATGCAAGATTTTTCATGCAAGACTCACCATGACCACGACCATTAAGTATTTAGGAGAATTAAAACTAATCACACACTATTTCATTCCTTTATTAAAAACGTACATTAAATTACAACCTCTGTCTTAGCATCTAACTATAATATACTACTACTTCTACTATTTTAATAGTGGCGGAGCGCGCTTTCATATCTTCGCACTGCAGTTCGGCCAGCCCGGTGAAATACCACGGCCACACTGAAGACAGGCATGAAGTGGAAGCAATTCTGCGTTTCGTTCAATGAGTGCGCTGCCCTAGTTTCAGTCCCCTTCCTTTCCCACCTTTTTTAAGAGGAAAGAATGGGAAGGAAAAGTGGATCTGACGGTAAAGGAGACGCATATGAAGGGCAAATCTCCTTTGTATGTGCGTCTCCTTCTCAGTCGATTAAGGTTAGGCATGGCATTTGCAATTGCGGATGTCTATGGGTAGTGGTCCCTTTGCCATTTCGGCGGTTTCAGGTGGCCGCTTGCTCGTTTGCCACCTTATAATATATGTATATAAAAAAACTAATAAAAAAATTAAACAACATTTTGTTCCTTCAATGAGTTCTTAGTTAGAGAAAGACGTATAGTTAAGTATAAAATAAACAATAAAACGCACTAAATAAATTCCATGTTAATAAAAAAACGAAGGTGAATCAATTAAAGCATACGTAAAAAACAGAACTTGAGCGCTCAGCAAACACTACAATGAAACTTAAAAAACTCTAAAGACGGGAAGGGTTTCTTCGCCGACATTTGCCCTTTTAAAAATGAGTATTGTGTATTGAATTTACCACCACACTCACAACTTCTTCATTGATACTGTAAACATTGGACAGTTCCAAATGGAAAAATTCAATTGATTTTCTTCGTGTACGCTTTGATTTTGTTCCGCATGAGCGAGAGCGCGCGGCGCAGCGCGAGCGCGGCGGCGGCCAGCAGCAGCGCCAGCGCCGCCGCCGCGTCCAGGTACAGCTTCTGGTAGACGGGCAGCGCCAGCGCGGGCGAGCGCAGGTGCGGCGCGCCGCGCGTGCCCGCCACGTGCGCCGCCCAGTGCGCCACCTCCGCGCGCGCCGGCGCCACGCGCTCGTGGTACATGCGCGACAGCTCGCGCGCGCGCTCCGCGTACCTGCCACCACACCACCACTGTACTCCTACTGCCACTTACCTTTTACTGTTTGCTTTCTAATTATACAAATAACACTTTTTGCGTATCTCTTAATACAGATTTTCACGAAAGTTTGATAGAATCTTAATAAAATTGATATTGAAAAATAGAAATGATAGAATCAAACTTTCGTGAAAATCTGTCCAGATTTTTAAGCAAACATAGGTTGGAGGTGAATGGATAAAAATAAAATAAAACACTTTCGTTACCACATAAAAATACAAGAATCTTATTAAAGTTGAAGTATTCTTAAACTTCTCTAAATCTTATTAAACTCTCTCTTCTAAATCTTATTAAACTCTTGAAGTATTTTACTGTATACACGATACCAAAACCAACTTTAAAATAAAAAAATAATGAATAGAATTACTAATTACCACTTACTTTTAACAGGAATAAATAAAATGAATCGATTTTCGACTTTTTGACCTTTAGAAGCAATGTGATACTTTGTTGTTTTTTTTACATCGAATTGACATCTGAGCGTATGTTATGAATGGAATAGACGATTGACGTCAGTCGTCTCATGACAACTCCGGTCGCGTTTTAGTCGCTCGAAAATGGTCATAATTTTATTTTATTATTATTAGCTCAATGGTTAAATATTTTCGCGTCAATTTTTTTCAGGTTATTTTATAACAAGTAGAATCGTTTAAAAAAAGAAAAAAAAACATGCATATTCCCTATTGTCGTTCTTATCATAAGGTCTAGCAACACCTATAATGAAATGGCCGGACTGGTGCAATCGCCCGTGCTAAACAGTCTTAACATTTGTACACTTAGCGTACATGACGATCCGATAGCAACTAAGACTCTACCCTGATCTGAACCCGTTAAGTTCTGCTGCAAAGCTTCCAATGCTCCAGCGTCGATCCCAGGGTCTAATAAACTCACCTAGTGTTAGTTAGCATCTCCCGTATGGTGTTCTCCAAATCCTCGGCTATATTAAGAGACATATCAACTCTCAAACCGAATCCTTTATGGATGGCTGTTTGTACTGTTATGAACGAGTCTTTACAGGCTGAAAATGCTAGATCATCAATACCCCCCATCCTTCCAATATTATATAAAAAGGCAACGCGCATGCCGCAACAGAGCAGTACGTTAGCCATTAGCAGTAAGTTTATACCTTTGTATTTCTTATAATTAAAATTAGCAGTAGAAAGTGTGTTTTTTCTTTTTTTAAAAAGGACCCACGAACCGCCATCCTAACAAATTTGGTGTCAGAAGTGGGATCCCAGGAAAAATCGCTGAGTACTGGGATCTATTAGGTGTAGGCGTCGCGAACTCGTTCCACTCGTCTGCACCATATATTTGTTGGTTCCGTGGTAGAAAGTCCTTTTTAAAGTAGTCGACGGTAAGCCTTAGGCTGATTGTAAGCCTAAGCCCGCACTGCTGTCCTACGTGATCGACGTTAAGCCTCCGCTATTGAGCGTGAGCCCGCATCACCCCAACACCCGCTACTGCTGGACCGGTCGACGATCAGTCTCCAGATTCGTCTGTGAGCCCGCACCACCCAAGCCTTTCATCAGGTATCACAAAGGTTAACTCTGCTACCTACTATCCACCATCACGCCACGTGTTCGGGGCGCACCACGTGTAAGAAGCAGACGACGTGCTGTAATACGACTTGCTGAGTCGCCAGGCGTCGCCACGCGTGTCTTCGAGAATGTTCGTGAGCGCTGCCCTCACACCGTTACTAATGTGAGTTTTCATTTTTTTTTTGTGTGAAAGTGAAATTAAATCTAGTGAAACATCAAATGTGAAAATTCCCAATTTTTCGACGTTTCTTATAATTTTACATTTTTTCTTAACTTTACAATTTTATATAAATCTATAATTTGCAAATTTACATAATTGAGCATGTTTTTAATTCTCTGATGTTCTGTAGTGCTTTAATATCTAATGTCTTTAAAACATGAAAATTTAGAGGAAGTTCATCTTTATCGAGTTCAGAATATTCAGAGGACAGCCCTGTAAAAACTAAAGTTAAAATGTCATCTATAACTCTGTCTGTCCTTACAAAATTTATTAAGCCCTATAGCGGAGATCGGGAATTACTCCCCGCGTTTCTGACCAATTGCGAAAATGCGATTGCTTGGTGTTGGTGGTGTATCAATTTGTAATCGCAGTTATAATATATGGTTAGGCGATGTTAACGTGTTTCTAATATGGATTTTACATTGATAAACCATAGACAAACCGAGCTCAAAGAAG